TAAATTTGGGGTACACTGCTCTGAGATCTTTAGGAGCTTGGGTTCAGAATGGAGACTGGGACCCCTCCAAGAAGAGTGAGGTTCTCTCCTGCCCACAGGGCGGGGCCTCACTATAACTTGGGATGGGAAGTAGATGACCTCTCTAACTACTCCCGTCTTTCTGAACACCTACTCTGTCTCAGGCTCTTTTTACCAGTTCATTTAAACCTCACAGAAAGCCCCAAAGGTCAGTATTAGTATATCCTTTTCATGGGGGAGACACTGGGGTTCAGAAATGAGGCAACATGTCCATGGTCATGCAGACAGGCAGGCTTTGGAGGTTGTAGGAGAGGGACTATCACTCAATGGAAACAGACTGGGTGACTGAGCCTCAGTCAGGTATTGCTGTCCCCCCAGCCCCAGGTCATGTTTCAGGCCAGATGCTGGGAAGACAAAACATCAAGCAGGCTCCACCACTTATCTCTTTCCCACAGCTTAGGGTTTCTAGCAAGTGGACACACAGGCACCTTCCCAGGGCAGCAGCTGGTGAGCTGGCTCCTCCTTTACCAAGTCAGATCTTGTCTGAGGCTCCAGAACAGGGCCATCAAACTGGATTTTCCTTAGAGGCCAAGAAAAGAAAATGGAAAGAAACAAATGGGAGGGCTCATATTCTAGAGTCAAAGACCTGGGCCCCACATATACAGCTATATTCTTCCGAATGGACTAGCCAGGGATGCTCATTGCCAGCCCCATGTTCTCCAGGGACCTGTCAGAGCCCAAGAAAAGTGGGCAGTCTGCGCTTACAAAGTAAAAAAGGCGGTGGTGGCACGGCAGCAAACAGGCAGGCTCTGGCTTGCCAGGAGGGCCCTGGCCCCACCTCAACAAAAACTGGCATAGACCAATCTGTAAAGATGCCAACTAAGCCAATTCTATGACTTTCAAAGTCACTAGGCTGACATAATTGGGTAGAAGTAGAGGGAACTGCGGGGTTAAAGAAGACAACATGCTGTTCCAGATGTTTCTCCCTGAGCTCAGCTCAAATCATTTGCTCCCCTAACAGGAAGCCAATGCCCACAGGATCCCAAAGAGCATAACTTCTGACTCATCTGGCCTACATACTGAGCAGATTGAGGCTGGGTGGGAAGGAAGCTCCAGCCTCAGGCTAGCACTGATAATCACATGGAAAAAGGAGAGGAAGGCTATTAGGGATTTACCTCTCCAGCCACCAGGGATTTAGCCTAGGTCCTTTTCAGCTCCTGACCAACTTTCAGCGGCAGAAAGATCATCAGACAGGTTGCTCGTCCCCTCTTACCCTTCTCTGCTCAGAACACCTGGTCTTCTTGGGGTTTCACTCCCTAGCTAAGTTGTGGGCCAACCCAGAACTAATGCTGCCAGGGCCTCTGTCTGCGCCTGTGCCACCCACAGGGTCATTCATGGGCTAGCTGCTTTCTTGCCTTTGGCTAGTGCTCAAGAGCAGACAGGGAACACTTCAGTCCCACTAAAGGTTCCCTACTGAGTAGGCTGAAAGGCAAGATGAAAAAGTGAAAGAGCATAGGGAACTCTGGGCTCAACCTCCAACTTTTCCTCACAGACTGAAAAGGCTAATATTTGTTTCATACAGATCTGTATGATAGAGCCATCCCTAAGTCCACTTTAGTTCTCTGACTTGGAATAAGCCTGGCTGGTCCAGCCCTAAACTAATCAGACTAATGACAACATGCTCTTACCCTTCTGGCCATTGCTGTTAGCCTCCTCCACTGCTGAGGGCGTATGAAGTGCTGAGGAAGCAAGGGAAGGTGATGGCAGGCAGACTCCTCTCAGTTACCTTCACTTTACCTGTCTGCCAACCAATTTCCTGCTGTGGGCAAAGGGCCACAAGGATGGAGGGTGAAGCTGGTCCTGACTTGGGATTCTGACATCCTGTATCCCAGTTCTAGCTCTATGCTATATGATCTTAAGCATGTCTTTGCTTCTCTGGCCTCTGTTTATCTTCTATATAAAGGCTATGCTAGTCAATCTCTTAAGATCTGTTCCAGCTTAGCCCACGCTTTTATGATATACTTTAGGTTAGTAAGCAATAGATACCAGAGTGAGGAAGTCTCTGTTTTCTTTCCTATTCCCACAGACCTTAACAACCACCAAAACTGACCTGTGCTGGGACAACCTTTGGCCCAGGGTGTCTGAAATGGACCTTTAATCTGGAGACAGAGCCTCCAGATGGATTCTGCAGGCCGTTTGTGCTAATGTTTCACTTCTCTGGGATAGCACATGCACTCCCAGCCCTCAACCACGAGACTAGGTTCAGGGCGGTCACCCTGAAACTTCCCACAACTTCCCCTCTTATGGCCTTAGGCAGGGACTTACTTTTGGCTTTTTTAGAGCCACAGTATAAACTAAACAAGGAAGGTCCAAGCTCTCCAATACCAGAGATTTTGCTAATAGACAAGCTGAAGGAAATGAGGCAGGGAGACAAAAGTAGATCTGGGATCTCACTTGGCCTAATAGACAACCAGAGATGTAGATGACATCTGCGAGGCCATATACTAAGTTTGCAGTTGGAAGGTGGAAAAGATGGATATCTGGCTGAGATTTGGGGGTGAGAGCCAAAGGGAGGTGCTCCCATTGGGCGTCTCTTCCCACAAATATCAGAGGTACGCCCTAATTTTTCTCTTCTTTTCTCAGACCCTGAGAAGAAGAAAGAAAAACTATTTCTTGGACTATTTTTCATAAATCTCATTTTCATTTTCCTCAGCAGTAATGGATATACACATTACTTTTTCCCTTGACTAAACAGGCTAGGGACTCAAGATCTGCCGAAGGTCACACAACCAGCAAGTGGGATCCCTAAATCTGGCCTTTTCTCACTCTATCCTGAAATCTGGGTAAATATCCACTAACCATGGAAGAGTTCTCGTGCTTTAGAATTTACCAGCAAATCTCAGCTGTTACTTCCAAGACCCCACAAATAAAACCAAGAATTCTTTTCCCACCCCTCAAGACCTCACCCTTCCTGGGCCCCTGATCCCTGATGACCATGCCCCAATTGAAAGAGCCTAAACCCTCTCTAGGTTTCTACAAGCTCACACGGGGTAAAGGGAGAAAATGAGGGCTTCTCCTAGTTCTGAACTGGACTAGGCTTAGCCTAATGTGAGCAAGTAAGGGAAGGTTGGAAGAGACAGATCCTGTGGGTGGGAGGAAACTCCATCTAGGTCAGAGGCCTGGATTTGAAATTTTCTCCTTCTAAGGAGGAGGAGGCCTGGTGACTCTTGGGGAGGGAGGGTGATATTATGGAAGTGACATTTATATGGGACAGCTTTATGGAGTGGGTTCTTAAGATAGTCAAACACTTCTTTAAGTCACAAAAACAGCTGGGGACACCTTGGGCAGTCACAATCAATCAGAGGAGAGGGAGGATATGTTCTGGAGTAGGGCTCCCTCGGTGACTGTGAGGCTCTGTCTCTATAAACTGGGAAGTACACTATGACAGGGAGGCTTGTCAGTTCTGGGTATGGCACTAGTCTCCTATCACAAGACAACTGGAATGTAAGCGGGCTCTAGAGGTCATCTTCCTGAGGGGACCACCGTTCTGCCGTGTCGTAATCTATAGTCCAACATGCTCAGCTTGGAGGGAAGGTGCTACTCCACTGTCTCAGCTTTCTCTAATGGCGAGCAGGGTGCCTGAGTGCTCAAGGGTGAGGTACTCCATGAGTGCCCCACCTCCCTCCTACTCCGGTCCTAGATCTGGATTTGGGAAGGAAGCACATATACACAACAGCCTGGGAGTCTACTGGCTGGCTCCTGTGTGATGAAGCTGACAATGAGTCCTAGAGTTGAGGCTCTGTCACCCTATCAATTACTAAGAAGAAAGAGTGTCTGCCCACCTGTTGCCTGTGACAATGGACAAAGCTGCCTTTCAGGAGAGGGTGTGTATGAGAGACTGACACTCTCTGACCTTTCCATGATAAAAAGAAACTGGGTGACAGGATGGGACTCTCTGGGAGGGAGCTGGCCAGTGTCAATCCTTCTGAGATCTATGTGTCTGGATGTAAGAGTTAGTGTGACCTGGAATGGGGTGGGGCTAGTTCGGAGTCCTGAAGTCTAAGATTTCCTGGGGTGGGGATACTGAGGTGGTGAGACAGGGATCTTGTAGAGTAGGGGGAGATGGAGAATAGCTGTGGGCAAAGTATGGGGCAGACAGCTGTGCGCATGTCAGGGGGTGGCAAAGCCTTAAGGCCAGAGTGACCTGGTGAGTCTATGAGCTGGAGATGGGAAACCCCCATCGGGAAGGCACTGGGTCCTCCTTAGAGGGTACGATCAGTCGGTTTGGGGGAGACCCGGAGGAAGTGGGTGGCCTTTCTGTTCGTAGGTAGGAAGTAGGCTGCCGCTTGCGGCGGGTCTGTGGGGATGGGACAGTGGAGACACGTTGGTGGGTCAGGCCCACGCCTGTGCTGGTCCCGCACCCGGCCCAGACCCCAGAGCTACTCACGCGCCCTCAGCGCCCTGCGAACCCACGATGAAGCCAAACTTGTCGATGCGGCGCTCGGCAAAGCCGTTGGCCTCCGAGTCCGAGCCGAGCGAGCTCAGCTCATCGGCGGTGGCGGCGTCGGGGCCCTGGGCCAGACTCTCCCGGGTCCCAGACAGGCTCCCGCCCGCTGCGGGTGCGCGCGGCCCATTCTCTCTGCTGCTTTTCGCCATATCGGCCGCGCCCGCCACCAGAGCGCCAGCGGCCACCTCAGCCGCCTGAGCCTCCCGGCCTCCGCCGACGCTGCCGACGCCCCGCCCACGCACCGCGCCCATTGGCTGCCCCAAAGCTGGGGGTGGATACCCAGGGAGCTCCCACCACGCGCCCAATGGGTGTAGAGGGTCCCGGGCCCCGCCCCTCCTCCAGCCTGGTGCCAAGTGGACCGACGTGAGGGGGCGGGACAACCGTCACCAGGGACCCGCCTTCCCTGGCTGCCAATCACAAAAACTCACCTGGACTAGCTCGTCTGGCTTTTCCGGGTTGGCCCGGAGCTGGTGTGTCACCTGCTGCAGCTCTTTGGCAGAAGGTCCAGGGCTTTTCTGGAAGTCCTGCCGGTCTCTGCCTCCATGAGAAAAAGGGTCGTAGGTAAGGCTGCTTCGCCGGTTCATTTTCAAGAACAGTGATGAGATGCAAGTAGGTTTAGAGATCTGAACCACCGTGTTGCTCTGCTTAGGGGCATGTAAATTAGCTCGTGGGAGACCCTATAAGAATAATACAGACCTAAGCTCTACTTTTTTCTTCCCAACACCTTTTTTGGTGAGGGTTGATTAGTATTGTTTTTCTTTGAAATAGTGTCTCCAAAGTGGCTTTGAGCTTTCTAGGTAGCCCAGGGCCCTCCCCCGCTCTCAAGTGCTGAGATTACAGATGTGGGCTACCATGCCTGACTCCTCGATGATTTTATTGAAATAAGATTAGCATATAACAAATTCCATCTATTTAAAGTGTAGACTTCCTAAGTCTGAATCCCATCACCCCATCGACCACCTACCTACACATGCACAAATAAATAAAAATTTAAAATAAATTAGATATGCCTGCACTCAGTAGGCTAAAACAGTTTAGGAGTTCTGGACTGACTGGGCTACAGATAAAAACCCTATCTCAAAAAAAAAAAAAGTACAATACCATGGTTCTTTAGCATCTTTACATAGTTGTACAAACATTGCGTCCAATTTTAGAACATTTTTATCCCCCAAAGAAACTCCTATCCAGTAAAGGTCATTTCCAGTCCTCCTCACTGTCTCTAGTAACTACAATTCTTTGTACCTATAGATTTGCTTCTTCTAGACATTTCAGTATCTATGATTATCAATGATTTTGTGTGTCCAGTTTTTTGTTTGTTTGTTTACGACAGGGTCTTGTCTTGCTTGTGATATGGGCTGGCCTTAAGCTTTCTTTTTGCTTTCAAGATATATCTATATTGCATACTTATTAATGCTTTATTCTTTTCATGGCTGAATTATATTCCATTATATGGACATACCACACTTATACACTATTCGCCAGTGAAAGTCATTTGAATATTTCTTTTTCTTTTTCCTCTATTTGACTTGGTACATTATTTTCATTTTTTGTAGGTAGAATTTCCTAGGAGGGGAACTTCTGTGTTTTAATAACTTTGGTTAACTTCTAAAAAAATGTGTATACAGACATGAGAGACATTTTTCAGGAGTCATTTCTTATATGGAAATGGATATGGATCCTGGGTATCAAACTCAGGTTACCAGGCTTGGCAGCAAGGGCCTTTACCTGCTGAGCCATCATGGTGGCCCATTTAACCTTTTGAGCAACTGGTAAATTGCTTTCCAAACTGGTTGTGCCATCTCTTGTAATCTTTTAGTAATTCTATACATGCCCTATTTTACAGGTAGGTGAATGGAGGTTCTATAAAGGCAAGTCCATTGCCTTAGATCCCAGGTTAGTTTATGGCAGTCCTAGGACCTCAGTTCTCACACAATACTTGTATTAGAATTGAGCCAATTACACTCCTACGCACTCAATCCCAGCATACAACTTTCAGCCCTAAAGTTTGTCAGTTCTTAGAGTGGTTCCTCATTCATCTGGTTTTGTATAGTTTACCAGTGTCATTTGACTCTCCCTAGAAAACTAAGCAGGAAAGACAGCCTACCGAGTCTAAGACAAACTCCAAGAAAGGGATTTAGCCCAGAGTGACTCACCAACCATTTCCTTGATGCCACATAGCCTAACATTCCTGAAGACCTGCAGTTTACATTCCAATTGCTTCTGGTTTTCCATACAGAGCAACAGCAGACATAGGAGCAGGCACAAGCCATTTTGCTCTTAAAACACTATCTGGGAGGACAATCCTCCTTTTCATAGCTGAACATAGATCCCAGGAGGCACAGAGTGCCTATTCCAAGGATGCGGAGAGGAACTAGATAGAACAAGTAGATAGTGTGGTATCCATGTTTATTTAACCTCATCATCTTGGTCCTAAGGTTCTATCTCCCAAACATGTTAACATTCAGCCCTCTAAGGGCAAATATGCAGATTGTACTTTTTTTTTTTTTTTGCTGTTGTGGCAAAATACTTGACAAAAGCGAGGTTCATTTATCTTGGTTCATAGTTTGTGGGTCCAGTCACGGAAAGTGGGTATAATTCTACTTGTTCTCTCTCTCAAGAGAGAAGTCTCCATTATGTAATCCCTGGGATACAAGACATGTGCAACCAGCTCCTTTTTTCCTGCACCTCAGCCCATGGAATGGTTCCGCAGCCCATCACCCAGTGGGTCTTTCTCTCCAGTTCAACCTTCCTGGAAAGAACCTCACAGAAGTTTGTCTCCTAAGTAACTCCAAATCCAGCCCAAGTTGACAGTGTAAATTAAATACCACACAGATACCCAGAAATCTCAGGGAAGCATAACCATCTTTCAGAAACAGAAGAAACCGAAGTTGATGACCATGAGGCAAATCTGAGGCCTGAGGCCTTTTTTTTTTTTTCTGAACCAGAGCCTGTTACTCGGGCTGCCTTCCAACTTTCCAACTCCTAGGCTCAAACAATTGCCCTGCTTAATCACATCCAAGTAGTTGGAACCAGCATGCCTGGCTTCTTTTAGACTAGTTCCTCATCAGTAAAATGAAATACTAGAAAAAACAAAACCTTAATTATTTTGAGATTTTAGTGTGACATGTCCTTAAGCATTTGATACATGGTAATTCCCAGTAAACAGTGGGCACAAGTAATAGTATTCATAATTTTCAAGTTCATGATTGTCTTGTTCCCCACCATAGCCTACAGCTGTAGCAGTGAACAGCTTAAACCATGGCACATGGGTAGTTTCACTAAATTACTACGTGTCCTTGTGCAAAGCTATTGAAAACATAGGGATGTCAGTTATTTAGTGAGAAAGTGTGCCTTGCTTCTTAAGCCTCGAGAACAGAAAGGCACATTTAGTGTGTGTCAGGGTGGAAGTGTGTACCCAGGTGCATATGGATGCACGTGAAAAGCCCAATGTTAATGGGAAGTGACTCCCTTAATCACACTTCACCTTATTTTCTGAAATAGTCTCTCAATGAACTCAGCAATTTAGGTGAGTGGTGAGCCAGCCAGCTCCCAGGATCCTTGTGTCTCTGGCTCACACATATGGTCTGATTCCCAGTTTTGCATGGTGTAGGGACCCTAACTCAAGTTCTCATGTTTATTTGGTAAGTACTCACAACTGAAGCATCTCTCTACCTCTCAGTGTTAATTTGTTTAAATTGCAGAGCACTTCCCAAGCTTTTTTTCTTATTTCTATGTTTATGTCTGTGTATGTGTGTACAGGTGCACTCTGGCCAGCTTGTTATAGGCAGTTGTGACCCACCTGACATGGATGCTGGGAACTGAACTAAGGTCCTCTGAAAGAGCAGCAATCGGCACAGGAGCTGATCATGATATGGCTGTTGTACCCATGAGCCATAGCACCAGGCCTTCAGGAAACTGGACCTACTATTGTGGACTGAGGGTGGCGTTGGGGCAATCATAAGGCCTCACCTTCCCTGAGGACTTACAGGCAGCTAACAGTTGCTGGGTAGAGGAAGGTATATTCTCTAGTGGTGTAGCCACTAGTCAGTTGTCCTTGATCATGCAACCCCAGTTAGATTCAGTGGGCCACACACACCACAGACAGAAACGTGAGGAAACTTGTTGGAAACAAGTGCTTGCTGGGAGAAGGAAAAGATGAGGATAATGGAGGGCGTATGACCAACCAAAGTAATTTATATATAAAACATATATCATATTTTTAATTATACAAATTACAAAAATTTTAAAACTTAAATCTGGATAAGGACTTTTTAAACTTACAAGGTTGTAGGACATGCAGTGCTAGAAAACAGTCTTGGTCTGTGGCCACCAAAGGTCACAAGGCTGTGGTCAGTGAGCCTCTAAGTGAATGTGAGCCAGCACAGGCGTTCATTCAGGAATTCTGGGAACTGTTAACTCCGGACTGGGGATCAAAGGGCCCATTCACTTGCATTCTACCCAGCCACATTCCTGGTCTCATGTCCTAGCCTCAGCCACAGCAGCACTGTGGGCTTTGCCAGTCAGTCTGCAGAGGCATATGCCCTGACACAATGCCATGTCCCTAATACCAAAAAGGAGCTCTCGGGCATGGGATTCTCTGAGGCTTTCTGATGTCCCTCCCACACACCTCCTTCTAGAAATTCCTCCAGGGGATTTCTGGTGCTGCCCAATTAGTGTCTACCAGTGAGCTCGTTTCAGGCCCCTAAACCAGAAAAGCACACCATCAAGCCAAATTTTGCACTAGTCCCTAGGCAAACTTGTGGCACCCAGGTGAGAGGCAAATGTCACACAGGGTACAGACTAGCATGACAAAAGGATGTTAAATGTAAGGGCCTAGGAACGTGTAATGGAGCCAAGTGACTGGTATTGTACGGGAGCTGCCCAAGCCTAGGCTGGGAGAAAAAGGCGGAGTAGATTGAGGACTAGAATATTGCTTCTGTGATCCTGAGGGTGTTCTTTTCCTGAGAGACCACAAAAGCAAAGGTACTGGGACCTCTCAAGAGATTTCAGGATGTGTAATTCTCAAGAATCAGCTTTGTTTACAGCGCATCAACAAGTTGTCGCCTCTCACTCCCCCCCCCCCCCCGCCCGAATGCACACAGCAGCAGCCATGCCTCTGCAAGAGCGGAATTCCACACATAATAACCTACATCAGGACCTGTTAGTGACCAAGAGTAAGGCACGTGTTTTGGACTTACTCTTCATCTTTGAGCCATGGGATGGTGGGTATGTGACTTCCCCATAGTACCTTAAACAAGAATAATCACAGATGGACTACACAAGTGTTTGAACAGGAAGCAGTGTCAAGCCTGATGGCCCATGCCTTTAATTCCAGCACTTGGGAGGCTGAAGCAGGCTGACCTTCCTGTATGTTCAAAACCAGCCTAGTCTATATAACAAGTTCCAGGAGAGCTGTTTGAAAACCAAAGAAAAACAACAACAACCAAAAAAAAAGCGCCCCAAGCACAACACAGTAGCAGTAAACTAGATAGATACAAGGCCCTTAGGTCAGTACGTGGATATGGCACAATTAAACCACACACATCGTAAAGAACAGCCTTTGCTCACCCTGGAGCAAACCACTAAAACTGCTATGCCCATCAAGTGATGGGTGATTTGAGGCATGAAAAAAGCTACTGGTCCTTGTTCTATGGCTACTGTATGGTGGAGAGTACCAAGCTTTAAAAATATAAAACATGTATAGCTCTATAAAGCTATGCTGTGGCAAACATGGAAGATCAGAAGACAGTCATGGGTGTTCGCCCTTGCCTTCCACCTGGCTTTACAGGTCTTCTTCACTGGTGGCTCAGGACGACTCTGGCTCAGTCTTGACTCCTAGTGCACAGGGATAGCAGTGGCTTTAGAATAAGTGGCTTTTACATCAACTCTTGTGCCATAAGCACTTTACTCACCAAGCTACCTCCCCAGCCCATAATGCTTTTTAGAAGAAATACTTGAAAGACATGATGGCAGCAAAAATGTATAGCGACCCCAAGCTCAACAGCACCGTGCAGTGGGCACAGTTGTGTTAAGGGACAGACCCATTTGTCTCCCTCTTAATCGATTGAAAATTCACCTTTGTCCCTAGGAGAGCTGTTGTGCACTATCTATCCCTGACATAGGTAAGAATGGCAGAGCTAAGCTAGTCGGTGGATGGCAGAGACAAACTGCTTCCATGAAGGTCCAAGAGGTGTTTAGTTTTTAATTAAAAAAAAAAAAAAAAGAAAGAAATTTAACATAGTATCTCACACAGCCCAGGCTGGCCTCAAGCTGTACAGCCAAGGTGAACTTGGAACATTTCATTCTTCTGCCCGCACCTCCCAAGTCCCAGGATTACAGGCATGCATGTACCATGCCTGCCTTCAAGGTTTATTAGAGACCAAAGCATAACACAAAATGATGAATGGTAGTAACCATATTCTATTAGCCAAGCATCACTTGATATTATGAAACTGTCCTGTGGGACAACCCTGGGTTTTTAATTCCTAATGGGCTTCCTTGAAGGACCTCCAATCCAGAACTGAAACAAGATATTCACAGACTGGCTTGGAGGGAAACAAATGCCCTGGCTGTGCCTAATGTCCCAGGGAAACTCTTGGAATTGGTGGTGGCAGGAGTCCAATTGCAGGTGTCTCTTGCTACTTCTTCCTTCCGCCTCTCTCCTTGAGGGCCAAGTGGATGACAGCACCACTGGCCATGTTGTAGTAAGCCAGGGAGTTGGAATCCTTGATGAAGATCCCCTGGAAGACAGACAAATGTCTTAGGGTACGCCACCTGTCTTTGACCACAAGCAGCCTCACAGAACTGAGCTTGTGTGAATATTCTAGGCTTCACCAATATGGAGGCTTAAGGGAATGTCAGGAGGTCAGTGAAGTATGGAACTTTGGCTTCTTCTAGAACACCTCTTTTTCCTTCTTTTCTCTCTCTTTCCCTCCCTCCCTCTTTCGCTTCCAACAGATGCAAAGTAAGGGACTTTGTCAACATTTGGTTTAGTTTTCAGCTTTCCATGACCAACTACAAGGCATAGCCGACTTCTCAGGTCAAAAGGCCTTTGGTGGTTACCTTATCAGCACCCTATTTTACAGAGGAAGAGAGGAGGCCCCAGAAAACCTGAAGATACCTTTGCATCTGTATAAACAACCAGGCTGTCTAAGATCACACCACTGGCTGCGAAGTGGTGGCGCATACATTTAATCCCAGCACTTGGGAGGCAGAGGCAGGCAGATTTCTGAGTTGGAGGCCAGCCTGGTCTACAGAGTGAGTTCCAGGACAGCCAGGGCTATACAGAGAAACCCTGTCTCGAAAAAACAAACAAAACTAAAGAAAAGATCGTATCACTGGGCTGGTCCCCATCCACATACTGAGACAAAGGTTTTTAGACCCCGAATCAGACTGTGCTGTCAGAATCTAGAACTATCAGGTTCATCTGTCCCAGCATCATTCTAGCTGTATCATTTCTAGGATGGCCACATCCAGGTCTCTCTCCATCCTACTTTGTACTTTTTCAGGGATGGTAAAGGAGTTGGAACCTCAGGGGCAGGACCAAGTTATCCTTGCTTACTTCATACTGTAGTTTTTGTTTCCCTGCAGGCATGCCCGTGGCTTCATGAATCTTCACTTTGATGACAGAGACCTGTGGGATCAAAGAAAGTCCATTCATTCCCTTGTTGACTGTCTGGAAAAAGCTGACCCACTGACTTCCAAGCACCCGTACCAATTAGGGGTGGCAAAACATACCTGGTCTGTGAGTGGGAGAGTGAAGACCAGCCCCTGACCATTCAGCTTCCATTCCGTCTTATCCTGCATGTTGGGTACCTGCACTTTGATGGACACTGGACCCTGCAAATGCAGTGCTCATTATGCCTGGAAAGGCTCAAGCCAATAAGGAGCTATGCTCTACTATCAGTGGCTCATACAAATAAGGACTCCTGCCCCTCTTGCCCATTTACTGCTGATGCCAGGTGTGACAATACACAAGGCTTCATTGCTTTTTTATTATTTTTCTAGACAGGCTTAAAGGTAGGAGTCAGGGCCAGCCTAGGCTGGCCTCAAACCTCCTGTCTCTAGAGTTCTGAGACTAAGTGTATATTATCATATTGTTTCATCCCTGTTCCTTAAATAGACCCTTCGTGCTTTCCAGTGAATTCTGCAATGTCAAGGACCAGTAGGGTAAATATGATCTGTGATACTGGGTTCAAACTCAGCAGACAAGATACCTGAGCTCAATGCTATATGCCTGTATGAAACAGACTGCTGGGACCATGAAAGAAAATAATCTGAACCTTTGGTAGGTGCTCAAGGAACTGACAGACATTAGTCTTAGAAAAATAAAAATTTTGTCAAATTTACAGGCCAAATCTCTTGGGAGCTGGGACTGTTACTGCCTTGTCACTGAAGCCTAGCAGCTTTCTCAGAGACCACCAATGCCACTGCAGGATCCTTGTTCCAGAATGCCAGCAGAATCCTACCCTAACAGGCATCTCCCCAGGGACAGGGGAGATCTGAATTTAAGAACTCTGCCGAGACTTCCTACAGCTGGTTTAGTGATCCTGTCACTTCACTCGTGTGCTAATGTCTCTGCACCTGCGCCTCCTTAAGAGTCCACACTACCAGAACTACCACTAGCACCTCCTCATCTCCCAGCTATTAACCTCACGATACAAACATACCTAGAAGTTTCTCATGGCTGACTGACATCCCAGAAACTAACAGTATGGGACTGGAACTTGGGTAACACATGCTGCTGCCAGTTATTACAGGGCACAGGCAGTGTTCTGGGTCACAGACCTTGTTCCTGCGCAGGAACTCTTCCTCAGGCATGAGGCTGTCCTCAGTCTTTAGTTTCTTGGATGGAGGCTCATCTTCCATAGGAGGTGGGGGGTGTACGGGAGGCATTGGAGCTGGGGCTGGGACTGGAGCCACAGGTGGGGCAGGCACAAAGGCTACAAAAGACACGGCAGTCGCCCAATGAGTACAGAAGAGGTGAAGAGGCCCAAGAGGCAAGACTGGGGAGATTTTGCTGGGCGATTTCGAGGCTTTGCTCCTAAGAGGTGTGAAGTGCCATGCCTTGATGAATCTGTCACTCAGCACATTCACTTGGGAGGCTGCCCGGATTAGGCAGCAGGGAACGAGATGCAGGGCAAGGTCAGCCATACAATAGTTATGTCAGGCTTCTGGGCCTGTCAAGGACCTGACCACCAAATTTAGACACACTAGCTATGCCATCTCAGTCTCTTGTCTCTCACAAGAAATATGGCTCCTAGTTCCCAGTTGAGATTTCCTCTGGGATGGATACTCAGTGAGAATACCTGTCATTAAGACCAACCACGGCTCTGTGGACTAACCCATGAGATGAGAAAGCAACACCACAGACTGACCTGTTGGCACAATCATGGGAGGTGGGCGGGGTGCCATGATGGGAGGTGCTGCAGGAGGCATAGGTACCACGTTGATCCTGGGTGCGTGGATGATGGGTGGCATAGGGGCAATCACTGAGCCTGGGGGCAGCCGGACCACAGATGCCATGGGTGGCCGAGGCATGACAGGTACTGCAGATACAACAGTGGTACGGACTGGAGGTGGCATCTGAGGGTGGGAGGAGACACACAAGTCACAGGAAGCCAAGGCTCAGCCTCGGGGACACACCAACTGGCCACTTATGATGGAGATTAGACAACCTGCTTATACTCTGCTTATACTGAGACTGAAGAAGTTTCACCTCGGGCCCATGATAGAAACTTGATGCTGCAAGTTCCAGGTTAATACTCTTTCTACTTGGGACTCAGTGGTTCAGATTCAACCAGCAATTCATGGCATACAGTACCATTAGAGAGGGTGACCTTGCTCTTATTTCCTGAAGAGACCATCAGTTCTCAAAGACCCATTAAGCCCACAGCCCTTCTCTGCCTCAAATCTGCTTCCCCCATTTGCCACTCAGCTCACTCCCTAATCCAAATCTCCTCTGCAGTGGAAGATGGCGTTAGAAGTCTCTACTTTCAACTTGATTCTTCCTCTTTCAACTCTGCCCACTATAGCATGCGGCCCCTACTGTAAAACAGGTGCCCTTCCCATACGAGAGCATCATCCCGCCAAAGGGACCAAGGTTTAAAACACTTGGTCACAGGGTGGCCTCTGACTCACCGCAGGTGGCCGGGGCACTGATGTGATGGGGGGTGCTGAGCTGGGGATATTGGTGGCTGAAGATGGAGGCGGTGGCTGCTGAGGGATTTCATTGGGCTTACTAGGGCCAATCTTCTCCTTAGTGTCATCTTCTGGCACCAGACCCTTGGCCTTATGGATGGCCTCAATCTGCTCCTGGAGGGTGATGTTGGCCTGGGCAGCCTGCTGGGTCCGGGCCATGCTGCCTGAATGGCCATCCCAAGTCACCTGCATTGGAAGGCAAAGACATAGCTTGTCACGAACCCACACGTGGAGGCAGAGGGCAGGGAAGACACTAGGATTCACTGGAATTGCACCTTTTCCTCTGGCTTCTGGATCTCCTCTTCACCAATCTTCTTACCAATGGCTGTCTCTTCTACCCCAAAGATGTCAGTACGTCGCTCAGCCAATTGCTTTAAGCTGCTCTCAATATCCAGACCTATACACAACAAAATAGAAAGAAAGGGAAACTCAGCAGAGTGCCCTTCTGACAAGTCAGCAGCTCGCTAAGAATGTAGGGTAGAGACTGGATCCACAGCATAGGCTATGGGCCCCAACATGTCACTCATCCTCTAGTTCTGGGGAGGGTGGCCAGAGCAGCTTTAAGCCTAAAGTTGGTGCTTGTCCAACTCCTATTAACAGGACCAAAGACTAAGCCCCTAGCCCTAGGCAGCACACCCACCTCCCACCCCACAAAGGCAAGGTCTCTTATTTAGTCCTGACTGTCCTGGAATTTTCTATGTAGACCAGGCTAGCCTCAAACTTACAGAGATCCACCTGCCTCTGCCTCCAGAGTGCTAGGTTTAAAGGTGTACACCATCTTATCCAGTGCTATCCTACTTGGCAATAAGATTAATTAGTGAGTGTCACTCAAGGAGAGAGAATTTAATCATGAGTTCAAAAGAACAAATGAGTAAGTATTCCTATTGTCAGATCTTGTTATTGGATACCAGCAGACAAGTGACATCCCTGCCACCAGTGCCAGATTTTGAAGGATTTCTCTACAGTGCCCTGGAAAATATACGTATCTTTTTCAATATCATAGGCTACACCTACCTCCCAAACTCTCACTGACTTCAACCATTCTGTGTCCTCATAAAGCAAGCTATGGGCTGGGAACCGCCATCTCACCTGGTGCGTAAACCTCATCATCACTCTGTTTCTCTCGGATGGAGCGATCCCGCTGCTCCAGCCAGCGGGGGTCAAGAAGCCCAATGCGCATGTGTTCTTGCATTTTGCTGGCAGGAATCTTCTCTCCAGTGATGGGGGATACAAGATACTCATCAGGAGCAGGAGCTGGAGGAAGGGGCTTGGAAGCTAGAGGAAAGAGATATCTAAGTGAGAACAATAGATGGTAGCTGGGTTAACACAGTGGTGCAGACAGACATCATTCACTGAAAACATCTACTTGCTGCTGCCACTCTTACACCAGGAACCTGAAACTGAAGATGACTACTCTCTTTCCCACCATGCTCTCCTAGAAACAGCCCATCTGAAAAACACACAAGACCATTCAGGACTTTCTTTAATATCACAAGGACTAGGAGGCAGGACCGTACCTTTGGGATCATAGTCCTTTCGCACAATGACTTGGTCTGGTGTCGGGGGCAGAGGTGGAGGCATGGGTGTCTCTGGGGGTGGAGGCACTTTCTGTCCTTCTTCTTCATCATCTGAACCCTAAAAAGCAAAGCAATGTCACAACTCAGGAGATAAAAGGCCACTTCCCCAAAAGCTCAAAACCATGGCAACTCTCAGGGTGGCAAGGAGCCTAGTCCCTGCCAGGCAATCCATGTGCTGAGTCTCTTGGGGCAGCTAAGGTCAGGCGGCAGTAGGCCAAGCTGCTTCCTCACAACATGAATGGGAACATCCGAGGCCATGGTGCTAACACTCCTCCCAGGCATTTCCAGCAGCTGGCACCAGGCAGTCCCAAGAGGCCCAGCGCACTTCACATACAGGGGAGAAACACAGGAGCCAAGTCAGCGCTCAATGGTAGCTGCTCCCAGAGCAATGCTGGGAGAAGGAGAAAAAGTCAATTCCCACAGACACTGGGCCTTTTCTTCTCAAAGCTGTACACAAATTCTTTCAGAGCAGGGAGAGCAGTTTGGCTCAGAATTCTGTGCTTATCGGAGGGCCAAGCTGGAAGGGGTTAGAAATGTCTGAAAGGATGTATAGGCTACGTTTAGACCAGTTTGGGAACTAGTGATCCTTTAGGCCTAAGTACTAGAAAGGCATCAAAACACAGGGTGACATGATTCCCTAGTAGGGCTGGTAGAGGATGATTTGGGACCAGGGACGCTGAGCCAAAGGGAAGACCATAAGCTATACAAGGCTGGCAAAGGTTTCAGATGCTTCCCACGACTCAATCTTTGTTTCTGAGCTGGAAAGAAGTAATATGCTGCCTGGGCTTAAACACTTGTGAGGCTTCTCCCAAGCTAACAATCTTTTATAGAGTGTGAAAAAGAGAAGAACCTTGGACTAGGAGAACACCCAACTTCCTTGGTTCTAGGAAAAGGTCAAGCTAAAACTACCTAGGAATTTACCTCATCCATGTCCTGTACTTGAGTATCCTGGTCCAGCTGGGAAGGAGTCTCCTCAGACTTTTCTTGATCTTCTTCATCAGACTCAACCTCCATCTCCACTTCCTCGCTTTCCCCAAACTTCTCATAGCGCTCTTGAATGAGGATCCGAGCTCCCAGTTCCTCCGGTGTTGTTGGGGGTGGAAAGTTTCCTAAAAGGGTGAAAAGCATTCAGAGAATGTAACTGTGTTGTAATCAAACAGCTTTGCATCCAACACTTAGAGGGCTAAGACAAGTGGATTTTCTGTCAGTTTGTAGGCAGCCTGGTTTATACAGCGAGTTCTAAGCCAGCCAGGGGTATATAGAGATCCTGTGTGATGGGTATTCTTGGTTATCAACTTGACTACATCTGAAATTATCTAAAACCCAAGCAGCTGGACCTGTGAGGGATTTTAGGTGGAAAGACCCATCCTCATCTGGGCCGTGCCTTCTAGTGGCGGCCTATGTGAAAGGACATGGAAGGACGTTTGTGTTCCCCACCTGCTAGCTCACACTCCTGGAAAGTCTGTGTAGCCTGCTGCTAAAGCATTCTTTCCCTAGTTAAGTTTCCAATGAAGACCAGCTGAGACAGCCAGCCTCCTGGAATTTCTGTCACTAGATCACGGCCTGTAA